AGACCTGAATGATGAAGGAGGAGGAATATCCCAGGCAGAGGGACCTACAGGAGCAGGCTTGGTGTGTTCAAAGAAGAGCCACCTTGAGTGAGCAGAGAGGGGGAAGAGTGGGGAGTGGTGGGGGATAGGCTCAGAGAGGTATTGAATTGGCCATTGTAGTTCATTACGATGACTGTCTCCTACTCTTAGTGGGATGGGAAGCTACTGGACAGTTCTGAACAGATCAGAGTCCTGAAATGACTTAGATACGACTTCTCTGAATCTGTTTTCCCATGTAGAGAAGGACTTTGATACCTCACAGACTTGTAAGTAAAAAATGATATAATTCATGTGCAGACCCTAGTGCAGTGCCTAGCACATAACAAAAAATCAGTAGGTGTTATAAGGCAGGATGTGTAGGAGAGTTGTTGAGAAATCAGATGTTGGATTCAAACTTGGTTTTAAATCCCAGTTCTGCCACTCATTTACCATGAGTGTGGCCAAGTTACTTAACCTCTAAACTTTAATTTGCACAATAAGCTCTTAAGACGAAGACAGTGTGTCCAGTGCTTAGCACAATGGCAGACTTGTAGTAAGTACTCAAAAGAATGCATCTATGTATATGAAATAGAGACATACCTTGGAGATATTGCAGTTTTGGTTCCAGACTACTGCAATAAAGCCAATATTGCAATAAAGTGAGTCACACAAAGTTTTTGGTTTCCTAGTGCATATAAAAGTTATGTTTACACTATACTGTAGTCTATTACGTGTGCAATAGCATTATGTTTAAAAAAGCAATGTACAGTCATGCACTGCACAACAACGTTTTGGTCAATGACGGACGGCATATATGACAGTGGTCCCATAAGATTAGTACCATATACCCTAGGTGTGTAGGAGACTATACCATCTAGGTTTGTGTAAGTACACTCTATGATATTCACAATAACAACATTGGCTAATGACACATTTCTCAGAACATATCCTTGTTGTTAAGCAACGCATGACTGTACCTACCTTAATTAAAAAATAATTTATTGCTAAAAATGCTAACCATCATCTGAGCCTTCAGTGAGTTGTAATCTTTTTGCTGGTAGAGGGTTTTGTAAACAATGCAATCTGTAAAGCGCAATACAACGAGGGATATGCCTGTATTTTAAAATATTACTTAAAAGAAGGTTTTAGTAAATTCTGTAAATTGACCATTCTCTCCTTTGATCCTTTGGCAAATGGGCTTTCAATGAATTAGCTTTGGAGGATGGTTTGGTGAATTGGCCTGCTTCCTTTCCTCTACCCCCAGCACCTAAGATATACCTCCATTACAGCTCATGTTATCTTGTATCTGTGTCTCTGTTAGTGGACAACGTGGAGATAAGGGCTTCTTGTTTTTCCATCTAAAACGCTTAGCACAGTGATCCACACAAAGCTGGAAGGGGGAGAGGTAGAGTAGTAAATGTTTGCTAGATGAAAGTTTGTTTCCCCTCCACAACTTTTACCCTGCTAATAGATTATTTTCAATATAAATTGGATATTATCTCGATGTAGGGTATACCACACCTACATTTAAAGGCTCTTGGAATATGAAACCAAGATATCATCAATCAGTTGTACAGTTTCTTCCCTCTGTTTGGTGATGTCTTAATTGCTCTGTTTTTCAGGCTGTGACCTAATTGTTCACAGTCATCATGGAACTTAGTTTGGTCTAAATCTAATTGTTGCAGTGTTCCTTGGAGGCAAATGATAGAGTTGCCATTTTCAGGACTCCCTTTGCTTTCAGAGAAGGAATGTGTTATAAATAAGCCCAAGAGTTGACCGAAAGAAAAAACTGTATGTTTGCTTTTCTGAGGTTGCTTTGTTTTTCTATGAAAGTCGTGACTTCAAGAATAAGAAAATAATGTAGAAGATCAACGTTGCCAAATAACATGGAATTCAGGCACATGACAGAGGCAGTATGGGGCTGGTGGAATGAACACAAGATCTGGAGTCAGAAGATTGAAATTCAATTCCTAACTTCACCGAGCTGTTATTCCCTCATCCTGGGAAATTTAACTGGGATCTGAGCTTCAGTTTCTTTCTTTCTTTTTTTTTTTTTTTTGTGAGGAAGATCAGCCCTGAGCTAACATCCAATGCCAATCCTCCTCTTTTTGCCGAGGAAGATTGGCTCTGGGCTAACATCTGTGCCCATCTTCCTCTATTTTTTATGGGACGCCACCACGGCATGGCTTGACAAGCGGTGTGTCCGTGCACACCCAGGATCCAAACCTGCGAACCCCAGGCCGCTGAAAAGGAGCACGCACTTAACCGCCGCGCCACTGGGCCGGCCCCTGAGCTTCAGTTTCTGCATCTGTAAAATCAAGAAGATGCAAACCCCTGACCTACCCACTTCTTGGAGTTGTTCTTAGGATCAAGTGAGGTAACAGACGTGGAAGGGTTGGCAGCTGTACAACAGTGCAAATATTATCTTGAGAGGGTATGTGAGCGAGGAATGGCTGGAGGAAGGACTGAAGAGGGAAAGGAAAAGTATTTGACCTGGAAACCAGCAAAAGAGTATCTGTTTCTGGTCTGCTAGAAAGGAGCTTTGTATCACCATTCAGTTAGGTAGCTTAAAATCTGGACAGGGCAGCAGGAGACCTGATTTATATTCCTGGCTCTCCCACCAGTTGAGTGACATTAGTAAATAACTCATTGCAAATGAGTGGCTGACCAGATTCCTTCCTGCTCTGACCTTCTGTGATTCTTATTTTTTGGTTAAACAGTTATCTTTTAAAGAGAAAAATAATTTTAAAGTCGACGTATGTACCCATTTAGTTACCATTTCTGGTGCTCTCCATTCCTTTTGTGGATCCACATTTCCATCTGTTATCATTTTTCTTCTGCCAGAGGACATCTTTTAACATTTTTTGCAGTGTGGTTCTGCTGCTGCTGAATTCCTTTGGCCTTTCTATGTCTGAAAATGTCTTTATTTTACCTTTGTTTTCAAAAGATATTTTCCTTAGGTTGTCAGGGTTTTTTTCATTCAGTTCTTTTAAAGGAGTTGCTCCACTGTCTCCTTGCACACATTTCTACTGAGAAATTTGCTGTCATCCTTAACTTTATTCTTTTGTATGGAACATCATTTTTTTTCCTTCAAGTGATTAAAAGTTTTTCTCTATCACTGGTTTTGAACGGTTGTTTATGATGTTCTTGGACATCTTAAAAAATGTACAATGTATGTTAAAATACGTGGTTTTTTTTTTTTTCCTGTGTGTTCTTATCCTTGGGGTTCATTGACTTTGGATCTGTGGGTTTACAGATTTCCTCAAGTTTGGAAATTTTTTTAGCCATTATTTCTTCAAATATTTCTTTTGTCTTTCCTCCTTCTCCTTTGGGGATCATGTCTGGCTGAAAAGATAAGGATAAGCTTCCTATTATGAGGTGATTTGGCATAAGCCTTGAGAATTGGACAGGATTTGAACTGGTGGAGCTGTGGGTAGAAGACTTGGTAACTTATTTAGTATAAGGGGATCAAGAAAGGAAAGAGGACATCACAATTTCATGCCTGTGTGGCTAGGAGAATACTGGTACCACTGGCAGAAATGAGGAATAAAAGAGGGAGTTTGTTAAAGAGGAAGATGTGGAGGCCATCCTTGGCTATGGTTGAGCTTGAGGTACTTTTGTGACTTTTGAGTAGAGAGTCCCACAGGCAGAATTATTAATGTGGGTCTATTGCCCAGGAGCAGGATTGGGACAAGAGACAGATTGGGAATTACCACTAGAGAGGTGGTAGCTGAAACCACACTAGAGACACAGATGCTATACAAAGATCCAAGGAAGGCCTAGTCAGTCAGACATTCCACTTCCAGCAATTTATTCTAGGCAAAGAATAATAATTCGCAATGATTCACAAATGGAGATGCATTGAAGCAGTGTTTATAATTAAAAACAAGAGGAAACTAAAGGTCCTGCAATAGACAATTGGTTAAATAAATGGAATATACAATGGAATACAGTATAGCCATTAAAAATGATGTATTAGAGGAATATGTGTAACAGAAAAATGTTCACTATACATTAAGTACAGAAAGCAAGTTACAAGACTGCAATACACAGTGTGACCTCATTTTTAATAAAAATATATGAATATTCAAGCACAGAAAAAGAGATAATGCCACATAGCTTATCTTTGGGTGGTAGTGTTATGGATGGTCTTTATTTTCTTATTTTTGCTTATCTACATTTTCTGAATTCTCTACAGTAATATTACTTTTACAGTAAGGAAAGATCTATTATCATTTTGTGAAAGCTGACCTGGAAAAAAGCCTCTGGATTTCCAGACTGTGTGGAGTGTGGAAAGTGGAAAAGGAAGTGGCAAAGGAAACAGACAATTCATGTAGAATCAGGATTACAAACCAGCCTGGTAGGAAGGGGCTGAACCCAGGGCACCTGCCGAAAGGGGAGCCGTCTGAACTTGCAGAGGCCTTTGGGTTTGGTGATCTGAGTCAGTAGTGACTCTGGAGAAGTGTGGTGGAGAGAAGGAGGAGAGAGGGGGGTCACTCCCTGGCCCAAGATGTCTCATGACCCTGTCCCTCAGGCCAGTTTTGGACAGGGACATGGCCCCACCATGACCTTCCCTGCTGGGCAGCCATTTTCTCACACCTGCCCTTGCAGTGCGATTCAGGCCTGTTGCTAAGACAGAACCAGGACATAGCAAAGCCCCTCAGTGTGGGTGTTGCCTCCAGAGATTGTTAAATGCAGATTCCTGGGCCTCCAGTCCCAAACCATCTGAATCAGATTATCTGGGGTGGGGGCCCAGGAATCTGCCTTTATAAAAGCCCCTTGGTGATTCTTATGTACAGGCAAGCAGCAGAACCTCTGCATTAGGGTGCGTGTGCAACGGGCCTCCTTCCCTTAAGTTTCCTTTGCACAGAGTCAGAGAGGATTCAACCTGAGAGTTTCTGTAACAGCATGACTGGGTGTTTTGGTCAGGAATCAGTCAGTCCAGATTGTGGAGAAAATACTCTTGGAATCCAACGGACACCATGGCCTTGCATGTGTCCTGGGAGCCTTATGGAGCCGGGCAGCAGTACACAGCCAGAGGCAAGAAAGGGCTGGGCTCCCAGAGTGACAGCCTGTTGGAAGAGACTTTCAGTCATGTTTCCCATTTGGTCTGAGCTGAGAGCTGTGCACTCCCCCACTCACAGGGCGCCATGCAGCAAGAACAAAGAAATCAGTCCCCGAGGCTCTCTACCTAGGAAGCTGGAAAGCTGTTAGAAAGTGATTAGGATTAGATCAACCAAAATGAGGGGCCTCTTGACGAGAGGCTGATGTGGATTCAGACACCAAAGGTTCTTACTGAATCAGGAGAGGAGACCTCAGGCAGTAGCCATCCATCCCATTATAAAAGATGTATAAATCAATTGTACTAGATCATGTAACTGCTAATCACGTATTGCTGATCACTAACCTTTAATGTAACGAGGCTATTGTACAAAAGCCACAGTGACGTGTTTTAACATTTCATCAGGCTCTCAAATCTGACACGAAACTTTGCTGATATCGGAATGAGGTATTTTTCAGGAACCAAAAGGGATGAGGAGGCCACCCGAGACTGAAACCCATTGTTAAGGAAGGAAATACCATTGGACTCTGCGGGCAGAACAGAAGATAAATCTGGAGAATGGATGTCAGAAATAGCCTGACCTCCTCCCTATTCTTCCCTCTTCCCCATATAACTGCCTCAAGATCTTGTGCTTGCTTACGGTGGTCTTTGGGACATGAGTCCACCATCTTCCAATTTTGTGACCTAATTGAATAAAACCCTTTCTCAGCAACTGACTCTTCTTGCAATTGGTTAGTATCAGGTTGTGGCGAGCAGAATGAGCCCTTGCTCAGTTAAAATTGTATTACGGTTTTCAATGATTTGCTATCCCTCTCGTAAAAGCCTTTTTTTCCCCACCCACTGACATCAGGCTGGGCTGCATGACCTGCTTTGGCCAATCAGATGCCAGTGAAATTGATGTAAGCTACTTCCCTGCAGAAACGTTAAGATCAGTCATCTGGTTCTACCATCTCTCGTGTCTTTACTTGGCTACAAGACCGGCATGTCCCAGCTTGGGGTTGCCGTTCAAGTCTGGGTGCCAGAATGAAGAAGACGTAGAGAAGAGTTGCAGCTAACCTATGAAAGACACGTAACAGAGCAAGAAATAAATCTTTGTTGTTAAAAGACCCTGAGATTGTGGAGTCATTAGTTACCATAGTGTACTCTAGCCAGAGCTGACTAGTAAAGAAATGGTCTCTTAGAATTGTAAAAACAAAAAAACCGTATTAAAGTGAATTTTTAAAGAAAGCTACCCATAATTTATTCCCTAGCTTAACCAAATAGTTTTAATTTTTACATGTGCCTACATGCCATCGTGCTGAAACAGATCATTACACTTTATGTTGCTTCTCCTCCTGAACTTCAGAGAAGGAGCCTGGTGGTGGAGGTGGACCAACTTCCTCACTAGAGGAGGCCAGAGGAAAGGCCTGTCTGTAGAGCCAGTGCCCAGCACAGAGCCGTCTGTTGTCAGGCAGTGAAGTGAAACGGAGCAAAGCCATTTCCTCAGCATCATTCGACTCTTGGAAAAATGTAATGCCAGGTTATTTCTTTTCCTGCCAACACTCTATCATGCCAGTTTACTATCCAGCCAAGGCGGGGCTAAATATCAGCCCTGTTCTACAATCTTCCATTTCCTGAACTCTCAGTCCCACCATAGACTGTGAACCTGCACGTGGTAAAGTAGAATTTACAGGAATTCAGCAGTGAACAACGCAGGCATCAGCTCTGACCTCTTGAAGACTACAATCTAGTGGGGGTATAGGAATAAATACATTTAATGTATATCAAATAATTACAAATTAAATCCCACAAAAGAAACAAACAGGATAATGTAATAGATTGGAAAGGCAGAGACAGTAGGAAAGAATCTATTTAAAACAAGAGTTTTCAAACTGCTGACTGGGAAACATCAGTGAATCATGAACTCTATTTAGATGTTCATGATCAGATCTTTTTTAAAAAAATGAAATAGAACTGAATGGAGGTGAATAAAATAGAAGACATTAGGTGCATCACATGTGATAAGTATAAATATTGTTTCATGAAACTGTCATTTCTGTTGTCTACGTGAATTATATGTTTCCGTAGCTCCTGGCTCATAATATAAAATGTAGCTGTTACAGTGGATAGTGGTAAAAATAAGTTTGAAAAAACTAAGATATGGCCTCAGGGAAGGCTGTCTGAGGAAGACATTACGTTGATGACCAATGAATTGGTTGATTTGATATTTTATTTTTATTAACTAGTGAAACTTAATGCTCATGCTTATACCTGTAAAATTAAACAATAAAAATTAATGCCAATCTTTTATTAAAGGAAGCAAAATTGCTATGAGTTGCTCTTTTCAAATATTAATTCCTTTATCTTGTGTTCTAAATGTTAATTAATAGTAGTAGGTCATTAACAGACCTCTTCAGAACTTATTGGCAAGAATAAAAATGTGCTACAAAATATATATGAATACAAAGACAAAATAAAATAACGAATAAATATGTTTCAAAAATAGTCCTTTTCTGGGGGCCAGCCCTGTGGCCTAGTGGTTAAGTTCAGTGCACTCCACTTTGGCAGCCCAGGTTTGGTTCCCAGGTGCGGACCTACACCACTCATCAGCGGCCATACTGTGGCAGTGACCCACATACAAAATAGAGGAAGATTGGCACAGATGTTAGCTCAGGGTGAATCTTCCTCAGCAAAAAAAAAATATATATATGTAGTCCTTTTCTTTTCCAGAGCAGCCTACAGTGCCTTCAGAAGCCTCATATCGTTCTCAAGCAACTCTCATGTAGCTAAGAGGGTGGTATTAAAAAGTAGCACAGACATTAGAACATACAGTCTAGATTTAGTTCCCATGTTTTCTGCTCATTCTCAAAGATTTAATAGAATCATGACCACTCCACAATTAGTACCAGGTTAACATCTGCAGCAATTAAAAAAGAAGACAGCAACACAACTTACAAGCCATTGAACACATTCATTTTTGCATATTCACTTGAGTTTTACTCAGGTGGATTTTAGTAGCAAAAAACCATACAGCAAGTAAAGCATCCTATACTTTCCAGAAAAGACTTCTACCCTGGGCTTCAGATGTTTTTGAAAAAAAAAAAATTGTATTTGTTCTCCAGGTACCTGGTCTCACATTTTCTTTACCTGACCTAAGTAGTCTTAAGACATTTTTTGGACAATATTTTCTTTAATGCATCCACAGAATCTAAGACATTTTCATCTTGTTCAGGGATAGCTCTTTTGCACCCTTGGCTTCTTTGTCTAAAGATAGACACATATATCTCTTTCAATAGAACACTCAGAGAATATGTATATGTCAGTATTTTTAAGCATTTATACATAGAAGTACATGTGTATTCAAGATACTGGTAACAGTGGTGCCAGCACAGTGGGGATAAGTGGAGTAGGGATGGTTACTTTTCATTGAATATCTGTGGTAGATACCATAGGTTAGCTCTCAACCCCCATTCCAATCCAGTTTTTTCTTTGCCTTCCTCATTGTAGACCTAAAAGCTCAAAACTTACCTTCAAGGCTCCCTGGCAGCGGGGGTGGCCATGTGATGTAGTTCCGGCCAATGAGATATCAGCAGAAAATCTCTACAGTTTGCTCTTTGCCCTTGTGTTTCCCTGTTCCTTCAGGCCTAAATGGCAACACAATACTTGGAGGTCTAGCAGCCTTGGGGACAAAATCCACACACTAAGGGTGGCAGGGCAGGAGAAAATGGTTCTTTGATTAGGTCACAAGACTTAACACTACTGCCGGAATCCTAATTATATGAGAAAGATAACCCTCCCAACATGTTGAATCCTTTGCATATCAGAAGTGATGCAAAGCTAAAGTATGCTAGCATTTGGTAGATTTTTTTGCCTTTCAAAGTTTGGACCAAGGCATGCATTACCTATTCAAAAAATAAGAAAAAATTTTAAAACAAAGCAAAGTATATGTAAGTCTTCATTACTTTTATTTCTTTGATTTTCTAATAGTTCAAAAATTTCTGTTTGGCTTTTTCACTAACTAAATCTTTAGATTATCAAAAAATTATTCTAGTTTTTTCCTTGAGCATGGCCACAACCTGGGCTATACGCAGGGCCAGCCAATGAGTTAGTGACACACTAACTAGCCCCTGGGGCCACTTAGACCCTTCTGCCAGAAAAGCCGCCTTTGTTTTGTTTTATAATCATTGGATCTCAGATGTAAGAATATGAACTCTGGTGGGAAGAATTCCAGAGACACAACTTATCAGACAATTTCCACTTCATTCAAGATGGTGTAACATGTACACCGGCATCTGAAATCATCTGAGTTATTGGCAGCTGTGACTGGCGACATTCACCAAAGGGCTAAGAGATTTTTGATTTATTTTGAGTTCTTTGATACAATGCCCCCTAGTGGTACTCAGAGGAAAAAATTATAAAATTAAGATATCAACATTCTCAGTTGTAAACAACAGAACTCTCTCCATCTAGAATAAGCAGAAAAAGGATATATTTAGGGTATTATCAGCCCCGCTGCTAGCCTAAAGCTCAAATCAAAAAGCCTTTCGTTCCTCATGATACCTCACTGCCATTTATTGAAATGGATTTCCAATTGTTATAATAAATATGTAGTGACTACGAATGTGAACAGTGCACCCTGAATATCAAGTGGCTTATATAACTTCTGGAAGGGGGTGAGAACCAAGCTTGGAAGCCACACAGTCATGGAACACTCCCAAATTATATTGCAGGCTCCAGGGGACATCTGGAGCTACTGCTGCTGGGCACAGACACTACAGCTCACTCTGCTTTCCCTGGGCACTGGCACTCCAGCTGCATGCTCTCCATGGCTTTTTTGGAAGCTAGATGTCTTCCCACCCTGGTAAGAATGAAATCTACAAAGTGCTTGCTTCTTCTCACGACTAGCTGCTGAAACACAATTGTTGAGGCTCACCTGACTGATGAAGTCTGGGTCACTTGCATATATCCTAGCTGCAAGAGATGCTGGAGAAGCAAGTTG